GTCTGTCTGTTATCGCATCACGAGAAAACCACTGGACAGATTTTGATGAAAGCTGGTCATCCGGGTCAACATATAGGATACTTTTTACCGCGGGAAAATATCTCATTTCTGAGAAAAAATACAAAAACTGCATTGTAAGAGTATACTAATATGTAAAATCTAAGAATTTGCGTTTTGGTCATCTGAACGCGGGCGAAGCCGCGGGCAATGCTAGTTTAAAATAAAAAAGTAGAGTTCTGTACATTTTAGAGTTTAGGTGATCGTAGTTATCTTTCCTTGTAACTTCATAGTCATAGAAAAATCTAGAGCCTCATATAAGTCTCATATAAGTGATTTTTCTATAGACTAATTTGCAAAAATATATACATTTTTTGTGAAAAAAAAAATCAAAAAAATTAAAATAAGAAGATCATAAATAATTCTAGTTTGTTTTTAATTCTAATTACTTTTTGCTCAATAATTCCGTCATAGAGCTAGGTTTTTTTTTCGGACACGTGGTTCTTTTTATTGTTTTATTATAATTAGTCTTTACCTATTAATCTATACTAATATTATAAATAGGTAAACTTTGTGACTTTGTGACTTTGTAGGGGGTAATCTCTGGATTTACTGAACCGATTTAGATGAAATTTGGTAAGAAGATAGTTTGAGACCATGGGAAGGACATAGGATACTTTTTATCTCGGAAATCATCCCTTAAGAGCTGAAAATGGGGATGAAAGTTTGTGTTGGGAAGCAAGCTAGGGACGAGCCCGAGTAATTTAATATATCTCACATATATTTAGAGAATTTAAATAATGTAGGATCATCGCGGCTCTACAATCGACATACCTTTATAAGTATTCGAAACACACGTACATTGTATGATTAACAAATATTTACGCAATTTTAGCGCAACAAAATAAACCAGTAGTTATGCGCTTATTTAGCGGCCGTTAAATTACTAATTACCGTGGCATTTAAAGCAAAGCAAAACTGAAGTTGTTCTTTCATGTCCGTAAAGTATCTGTTAAAGTGTCGAAATATTGGGTTTTACTATACGTTTAAGCTTATGGCAGCAGCAGAGCAGTAATGTCGTCAGTGTGAGGTGATCGTAACAGACTTTCGAAATATTTCTTTATAATTTTAAAAGGAAACAAGACGTTTGTCTCGTGCTCATAGATTATTTTTAGCTAAACACCTTTAAGGTTAGAAACACGTATCTAAAAATTTATTATTCAAATAGATTTGAAATTATATACTGTTGTGAAAAAACAGAAGGAAGAATAAAAGTTTCCACTATATAGATATATATAGGACCCATGGATTTTTAACCATTTTTAACCTTTATAGTTAATCTTACAAATAAAGTATTCTATACATATAATAAAATTGTAATTAAGCCGAATCTGTACATTAAATATTTTTTGGAAAATCTTATTGAAATAAACATTATTATCGATACAGAGGCCGAATCTATAGTTTTTAGAATTTTCATCGTTCTGTCTGTTACCGCATCACAGAAAAACCACTGTAGGGATTTAGATAAAATTTGGTATGGTGATAGCTGGTTATCTGGGTCAACATATAGGATACTTTTTACCGCGGGAAAATGTCTCATTTCTGAGGAAAAAATACAAAAACTGCAATGTAAGAGTACTAATAATATTTACATATTATGAATTTGGTTTTCGGTTATCTGAACGCGGGTGGAGCCGCGGGCAATGCTAGTTTTTAAATATATTTTAGTAACCCACAACATATGCAGTCTTTAATTATATATTCAGGACTTTTATTAACTCAAGCGCTGTAAAGACAAAAATTGTGTTTTGTAAGTAAAATATCCTTCGCTCAACTGATGTGGAAACTGTCGCACGACTTGTGACATTCGAGTATTGTATCACAGCATACCTACGAATGAACAACACAAAATTTAGGCTTTACATATAAGGACATAAAGTTGAATCTGTATGATAAGTTGAGATAGAAAGATTACATTTCGCATGTCCACATAATAGCTCGCATGGTTTGCGATACTGCAATTTAGTATTACGATAACGAGAGTGATTTATAATGGTACAGACTAGTTGGTCCTTGCCACATTGCTTGTAGACCTTCAGAAATATCGTAGGTACCAACACATATCGAATAGCATCTACAAAATATATACAATTATATGAGCAGGACCGAATTAACCATGTCGGGGCCCCTAGGCCCCGGGAGCCCCTTCTTTTCTAATTTATTTAAATACAATTTTCGTAATTACGCTATTAAGTAGATTTTATAAAAATTTAATTATTGCATTTGTCCTCATGGTGGATTTTTCACCTATTTTTTATTTCTTTTAAATTAAATTTTCATTCGATGATACATTTTCAATTTTTTTTCTCGGTTCATGGGGCCCCTAACCGATGCGGGGCCCATAGGCCCAGTTACCTAAACTGCCTTATGGATAATCCAGCCCTGCATATAAGAGTGTGGTAACCCTTAACATTACAAGGAACATGAAAACAATGCAATAAGAGTTGAAGAATGATGTTAATCTTTACAGATATCGGTAGCTAGTATATAGCTATGCACATGTATTATTTATTAATACATTAATTAAACTTTAACGGGAGGACATTTTCTTATTAAAATTATAATATTAATAAGAACTCGCATTTGCAAATCGCGTTGGACCTTGAAACGGTAATCGAGCAATATGAATAATGGCAACATTTAGTAGTGTGTTATATCTAATGGAGGCCGCACTCGTAAACTCTGAGCGTCATTTACAATAAATAGCATATTACTATATAGGTTCAACTGTAATTCTATATACGAGTACATTACATATGTTTAACGCAAAAAATGTAAAATATTAACAGCAAAAATTAAAAAAATAATACACTTTTATTTAGTTTTTATTTATTATATTATAATATAATTATATATTACTGTTATAGTTTATTCTTTTTTTAACATAATCTATACATATAATAAAATTGTAACTAAGCCGAATCTGTACATTAAATATTTTTTGGAAAATCTTATTGAAATAGACATTATTATAGATACAGAGGCCAAATCTATAGTTTTTAGAATTTTTGTCTGTCTGTCTGTCTGTTACCGCATCACAGAAAAACCACTGGAGGGATTTTGATGAAATTTGGTATGGTGATAACTGGTTATCCGGGTCAACATATAGGATACTTTTTACCGCGGGAAAATATCTCATTTCTTAGAAAAAATACAAAAACTGCAATGTAAGAGTATACTAATATGTAAAACCTAAGAATTTGGTTTTTGGTCATCTGAACGCGGGCGGAACCGCGGGCAATGCTAGTAATGTATATATAGCGGAAGTGCGAGCTCGTAGCGCTGTGTCTGCTCAAGGCAAGGTGGCAATATCAATATAATTTCACTTTATTCAATCTAGAGTAGTTTTATAAGAAATCGTCACGATTCAATTTATAATTTACATCGTATACTTCACCAACAAGCAGCATTAAATAAACACTTCTAACTTTAACCTTTACGGAATATTAATTTTATTATAATTAAAACATTTTATTTATGATCAAGATTGGATATGACTTCCAAGGCAAACCAACCACCTGATGGTCTAACCGCTAGCACCGTTTACTTGATCCGAGTGATCTCAGTGCCCTAATATCTTGACATGTGATGCTGCACGCATCAATTAGCACATTATAAGCTTATGTAGTAATAAGTATGTTTCACAAGAGCTGATCTAACGGCCGGAGTATCGATTTAGCATTTACGTATTTCAAATAATGAATTAATAAATTTACGGTTATAAAATTACTTTAATCTGTGTTATTAGAGTTACCTATGTTTCGTTCGTAAAAACAAGGTACCAGAATGTCCTTTTCTTTTTAAATTTTCTTTTTACCTAATACTTTCTTAGATTTACGCGAATATTTGACATTTTAAATAAAACTATCTTTTCGGATTTATTTTGATTTTTTGTTCCCGACGTTTCGAATGCTTTAAAGCAATCATGGTCACGGGAGAGAGGTTTTAGACGTCTCAATGGCGTTATATAGTACTTGTTACAGACAAATAGCAATCTAAATTATTATTTTAACTTTTTTAAATTACATACAAAACAATTGAAACGTCGTCAGCATTCGAATATTCCGAAAAGTTAAATTTATTTACTTTTACCTGTCCATAAAATAAATAAAAGAAAGCAATCTAAAAGCAACTCGATGCCGACGATATCTATACTAATATTATAAAGAAGTAAAGTTTATGACTTTGTGACATCGTAGGGGGTAATCTCTGGATCTACTGAACCGATTTAGATGAAATTTGGTAAGGAGATAGTTTGAGACCCTGGGAAGGACATAGAATACTTTTTATCCCGGAATTCATCCCTTATAAGAGTGAAAATGGGGATGAAAGTTTGTATGGGGAACCAAACTAGGGACGAACCCGAGCGAAGCTAGGGTGAGTCGCTAGTACTTTATAGGCATATTATTCGCATGGATTATATCTTTATAATAACTCATTATATTTTAAAAATACGTACCTACAATAAACTTTTATATTTTAACACGATTTCATCAATTGATCACAAATCAATATTTCGTTAAGTAACACTTTGTTATATCATCTGAATTATACGAGTAAATATTATTAATAAAAACAAATAAAAAAGGCGTCGAAGGCTGGCTGTCTTACTTTCATTTTTTATTGAGTTCAAAGTCACATACAAGCAATAAATATGCAATATGAAATGAACGAGACTAAAAATAAAGCAATGTGTTTGTGTGTTTCATGAATTTAATTCATATTATTTAAGTTAGTTTACGCACTTAAATATGTTCAACTATCTAATTAAAATTATGAAACCTTTTTAATAAGTTGTTCATAAATGTTGAAATTGATATATAGAATTATTAATATTGCATATAGTATTAACTTAAGGTTATATATTTTTACAGAGAAAACTAAGATAAAGGAGAGAAAAGAAGAGATATCTACCAAGAGAAAAGATCAAATTAATCAGAATGAGGAGTGCAGTGTACCTACTAGCTCTACTAGCGATGTCGACGGCGGCGCCCGCCCCCGAGCCCGCCGCGCAGCCCGCCCCCGAGCCCGCCCCGGCCAACGACAACACACCGGAAATTATTGAAATCATCGCCCCCGCCGCCGGTGGACAGGTACTCCTAATATATTATCTTTATCGTTATTATCTTTAGACCACATTTGTTCACTGTAAAGGACAATCTTATCTTAATCTTCAATTCCTAGTTTTCCGCTGCCTTTTTTTTTATTTGTGGCGAAACCCCTTTACGGGTGCCCGAGCGCGGGAGCTTGCGGGGTATATGGGACTCCTGTCTCGAGAAGCGCGACAGACTACCCACTAAAACCCCAACGGTGATCCCTATCGCAAGAGACAGAGCCACGGGATCGCTTGCGCATTCGACTGCGAAGTTTTCCGCTGCCACTTTGCATATATCGTTACTCCATAGTAGCTATCTTCGGAGTCTACTGAATTTACTTAGCAATAGTTTTTACTCTAGAAACCGTCTACATTGTCTGTAATTTCTACGATATAGTATGCTTTTCAATCTTCACTAACAGAATAAAGAATTATTTTTCATTCATTCACGACGACACGTTTGGCTCAGTTTTTAGTTAGCCTACTTGCTGTGCCAGCGGTCGCGGGTTCGAGTCCCGCTGGGGAGATTCATTTGTGTGATGAGTACGAATGTTTGTACTCCATTCATGGGTCTTTATATTTATAGCTAGCGACTCACCCTCGCTTCGCTCGGGTTCGTCCCTACTTACGTTTTGACGTTTAGTTTCGATTTATTAGAGATGAGATATTTTACCGCTGTAAAAAGTATCTTATATGCTGACATGGATAACCAGCTATCATGATAACAAATTTTATCAAAATACAGTGGTTTTTCCGTGATGCGGTAACAGACAGAAAAATTTCTAAAAAATGTAGATTCGACCTCTATATCGATAATAATGTCTATTTCAAGAAGATTTACCAAAAAATATTTAATGTACAGATTCAACTCAGTTAGAATTTTACTATATGTATAGATATGTATATTGTATACATATATTTAAAATTATATGTATGTAGTGTATCAACTATCTGGTATCCATAACTCAAGCCTCGTAGGTTACCACGGAACTAGATGGTGTTGTGTGTTAATGTCCCAACATGTTTATTATTATTTTTATTATATATTCCGGAAAAAAGAAATAAGTTACACGAAAATTTTGTCAATCTGGGCATTTTTTATTTTAATATTTGTATCAAACATTCAGATTTTTCAAAAAAAATACACGCAATTTAGTTAGCGAAAAACACAGATGTAAGTTTTATTCCCGTGAAATACTGTTATTATGTTTAATAATAGCTCATCATATATATCATTTAAATAAATAAAAAATCCGATTAAAAGATGCTGACTTATATATATACTTAGGACATAGTTAGGGTCTGACTGACTGACTGGCGAAAATTGGTCACTCTGAATAAAAACAGAATGTCATAACTCATATAAAAAAAATCCGGACATGGGTCCGTAGACCTGTTCAATGTTAATTAAAATAATTACCGAAATATATGTCAGTTAAAATCAAGATAAAATCTGACAAGGTCTACCACTAATCCGCCGTCGAATTTAATCGTAGGTCCATAACATTTATTTCGGACAAATATGTAAGATCAAGCTGGTGTTATTTAGGTGTGTGTGGGGGATAGCGTGGGGGGAGCGCGGGGGGAGCGCGGGAGGAGCGCGGGGGGAGCGCGGGGGGCGCCCGCGTTGCTCAGACACCGCGGACACAACAATGTGCTCACTATCACGAAATACTTACATTTACATTAATTTACATTTCCTTTTTAAGTTTTGCTTCTCGTTATGATGTAACGATACGCACCGAACACGTTCTGGTCTAAGAGTTCTAGATCATTAATCGTATATTATAACCCCGGACACAAAAAAAACCCTCTAAAAAGTTAAAAAAAAATCTCTCTAGGCCTTTTAATTTCATTAAAAATACCATTTAATATTTTTATGAAGAGCGCCGCTGCGTCTGGATACCGCTAATACTTTATTATTAATTTATTTTATTATTAATTATTATCAATCTTCTTTTTATTTGTATTCTGGATTTTATTTTATTTACTTAGTGGCTTCGGAGCTTTCGTTTAGAAGCTACGATGCCACAGATAGACACACAGATACACATACAAACAAACAGACACATCAAACTTATAACACTCCTTTTTTGCGTCGGTGGTTAAATAAACATAAAATGCACTTTCATTGGATACCCTACTTGGGGTAAGTATATTTAAGATTATTCATCTCCAATTTCCCCCCATGTCTAAAATGGCTGACCTGATTTTGATAAAACATGTCTAATTGTAATATACACATCGATATATTCGATTATTCATCACCACCTTCACCCCCACATCTTGTAAATGGCTACAACGATTTTGATAAAACATGCTTTAGAATTATCGCCAAGACATTAGCTTTCAAATAAAAAAGTCACATCCAAATCGGTTCACTAGTTTAAGAGCTACGGTGCCACAGACAAATACACACACATAGCGGTTAAACTTATAACACCTCTTTTATAACATACCTGACCTCTTGTATAATGTATGATCAAATAATTTTGCTCTGTTTCATAAAAAAAAACATATTGAATAACATTATTATCCAGTGTTCATAAGTTACAATATACAGACATCAAAGTTTTAAAGAATAATAAGCCCAAACTCAAAGTATCTACTATTAGCCGTTGAAGAGTTCCACCTATCCACCTTCTGGCCTTACCATCAGATCAGGTCAGCAATACCGAACCACTGTACTATCGACGGAAATAGAAACACTTGCAGTTTAAGTCAATATGACAATTAGAAGTAGGTTAAATTCATCATTAGCTATTTTTCCACCCTTAGGGGTGGTATTTTTTTTTAAATTTAAATGGGACCAATCTGGAAGTATACACTTTCAAACAACACAAAAATTGTCCAAATCTGTTAATAAATGACAGAATTCTGAGGTAACAAACATAAAAAAAATATATAGTCGAATTGAGAACCTCCTCCTTTTTGAAGTCGGTTGAAAATTTCATTTGCATTGTTATCTTGAGGGTAAAGGTACTTAAAACTAACTCTTCGTGAGGTTTCAAGGCATGGGCCGTCACGGGTCAACGCGACGCATAAATATTTTGCATGTCCCCGCAACGCAACCTCTTCTAATATAAAAATAATAATTCCATCATAAACAAATGTTGGTCGTGAGAAAAATTTTAAAGTTCTATCATCCACAATAGGTGAATGAATGAAAAAACATTTTCTAAGCCAAGCTGCTTCAATTTAAATAGATATGCACCTAGCGCTGAGTTCTTATTATACAAATCTTATACTTCTTCTAAGATTTACGCGAATATTTGGCATTTAAAAAAAAAACTATCTTTTCGGATTATTTCGCGGATTTATTTTGATTTTTGGTTCCCGACGTTTCGAATGCTTTACAGCAATCATGGTCACGGGAGAGTAAGTCTCTAGGGTTGTAGACGTCTCAAAGGCGATATATACTTGTAACAGAAATAATCCGAAAATTTAGTTTCATTTAAAATGTATTTATCGTTGACATAAACTTTAATCGCATAAACTTAAACTAACACAATATTAATTATTGTCCTCAGGAGAGTCTCTCGACGTTGAACCTCGGCGCTCCCGGCTCGGAACTGAGCGAACGCAACAAGCGTACTATCGGCATCCTGAGGCAGCTTTTCCCCACACTCACACAGGTAATATGGAAAGTCCATATAAAGCGTAACTAAGTACATTATTATTACTATGTGTATATATAATTAATATGTTTATATATTAACAACGTATGATAATTATATATTATAACTCTAAAGAGTAGTAAAAATGGCTGCTGCCATTACTTTATTATTGAGCAGGCTATATGGAGATATATAAACAGGGCCGGGAGGGTTAAGGCAACTGCCTATGGGCCCCGCATCGATTAGGGGCCCACGCGCCAAGAAAAAAATTGAAAATATTTTATCGAGTGGAAATTTAATTTGAAAAATTAAAAATTTGGTTAAAACCCACCATGAAAACAAATGCAACAGTTAGATATTTATGACGTCTACCTAATAGCGTAATAATTACGAATATAACTGCATTGTGGTAGAAAAAATGTATTTCAATAAGTTAGAAAAGGGTGAAGGGGCCTCGAGAATTGCATTGCCTAGGGGCCCCCGACATGGTTAATTCGACCCTGTATATAAATGAATGTAAGTGTTACAATAGTTTAATATGCTTCGCATTTGGTAATTGACAAGTTTTTAATTTAGAATATTATGCTTTTTAAATAGGTACTTAAGTAATTTGAACCCACATGTGTTTTCAATGTTCTAGCCAAAAAATACGGGGCTTACTCGTCGATACTAACCATACACGACTTAAAAGCAGCTTATCTGTAGACGCTTTGCACACTATATAATAATATGTAGAATGGTGATAAAGGTTTGCTAAGGGCGGTGTATGTTCTAGATAATCGAACAGAAGGTACAGGAGATCACAAGTTTGGTGCTGAAGGTATTTGGGCCTGTGGTGCTTCGCGCCTTCCTAGGCAACAACAATAGTGGGCGTAGCAACAGCGGTAGTGGCACCGTCGAGCTGGATGACGACGATGATGACGACGAAGATGAAAAGACCACTACGACGACGGCGGCGCCCGCTAGACGAAAGCGAGCCCTGTTCTTCCTGCCGGTATGAGCGTCGCACATTTGCGCACTAACAGCCTGCCACAGGACGGTAGCGCGGGCATGCGCAGACCGCACGCCTTCATCGTCATCATCACGTCATATCGTCATTCCTCCATCTTTTATCCACCCCCATCTCATGATCATTGTGATAACACAACGAACACTTGCTCATTTCTTGTTCTATTTGCAGAATGCCCTCGCTGAAGAGAACCAGTTATTATCAGGAGCTGAATCTCAGCAAGCTGAAGTACGAGTTGCCTTCGGAGGTGACAGTCAGGCTGCTGCCAGTGAAGATCAGCAAACCGCAGCACAAACCAATTCTGCGACCATCGACGAGATCACATTAGACGATGCTGATGAAAGCGAAGAAAATAGAAATAAGAGGTACTGTACGAGTATTATAATGCCCAAATATTTTATGATAAAAATTCGTAAAAACTAGTACTACCTTTAGGAACATTTAATGTTTTAGTCTAATAATATTTAATATTCAATTTTAAAAATAAAAAATATTATCATAAAGAATATTTTTGTAGATCAATGTATTTAAAGTTAATAATAATAATTATTAAATAACACAATCAACCTATGTAGGCTGTTAGACACAAAGATTTAACAAAAATCTCCGTGAACAGCTGTCATTATTCTTTCACTGGATTTTGCAACAGCGACATTGGCGTCTGGTAAACAATACACATCGAGAATAGTTCACGCCCGTTCTTACTAACTTTTCATTTCACACGAAATTCTTTTTATTAAACCTGAATTATCAGGTATCTGTTCACATAATATCTATTGTTCATTTATAGATCTCTGATTAACTTAACTATATATTATTTTAATTTTTATAGAGGATTATATAAGTTGTATAATAAATATAATAAATAAATATGTTGGGACATTACCACACAGCACCATCTAGTTCCATGGTAAGTTACGAGGCTTGTGTTATGGATACCAGATAGTTGATACACTACACATTTATAACTTAAAATAAATACATATTATAAATACTAATGACTGGAGTACAAACATTTGTGCTCTTCACACAAATGAATGCCCCCAACGGGATTCGAACCCGCGACCGCTGGCACAGCAAGTAGGGTCACTACAAACTGAGCCAAATGTGTCGTTGAATGTGCATAAAATGTTATGATTAAAAATAATTATTTGCTAACAGATTCCTCAACTTTGGAGGATCAGCTTCGGCGTCAGGAGGCGGCTCTGGCAACTTCTTATTTGACATCGTCCGAGTATGTATAAAATGATTTAACAATTTCCTCACATATTCTTACAACTTCTTCTCTATCACCTCCACCGTCGCATTATTTATTCGTTACCTATTCACCATTATCATTGTAATCGAAGTGAACTTGGTCGATTAGTACAGCTCAAACACTGACAACTCCAAATATGAATGAAAGATGTATGAGAAGTTTGCGAGTTAGAAGGATTGATGTTACAGCGCCCAGCGGAAGTGGTAGCGCGAGCAGCTGGCAACGCCTTCCGTCTATTCGCTGGCACGGATTCCCTTAACGTGGGCCTAACCGCCTCCCACTCGGCTACACTGGACCCTAACAGCGCGCCACAAGTACATCACATACTTTGCACACTGTAGACCTTAGATACTTACACTTTAGACCTGGGGTAGATGGAGTCGTTGAGACGTCGACATTCAGTAGATTAAATCGTTTTAGAATCTCGAGTGTTATGCAAACTCCCATCGTCATCCTCATTTCCTTTTCTCTATTGTTTCTATTTCCGCTTTGTCTTCTAATTGCACAATTATATCTACTAGATTGCACTGTTTAGTATAATACCTACTATTTAATTGTATTTTATATATAAACTACGAATACTGTAAGTGTAGCTAAGTAAATAGTAAGTAGTAGAAAAAATATGACGGATCATCAATTTAAAATGCTTATAATAACCTATGATGTTACAGCTCGTAGCGGGCTCATCGTCTGGTTCATCGTCCGGTGATGCCGGCGCAACTGAAGGTGATGATAATGGCGCTGGGAAAGGTGACAATCTGACCGAGGGAGTCCCCGGCCCCATCACCCGTCTGTTCATCATCGCCAACCGCGGCATCGCCAACCTTATCCAGGACCTGATCCTGCGTATTGCGCAAACCTCAGAGAGGATAGTCAACTTCAAAGCACGATTGATCACTTCTATCATTTAATGCGTTCACGCTTAGAATAATATCGAGGGGCTTCGGTTATTGCGGCCTCGTATTCCGACTCGGACAACTCATTCTATGGATTCAAACGCTCAATTATAAACTAAATTCTTCCGAGTCGTGATATGAGCATCGCAAATATGACCGCAGTGTGTTATCGTGGCGAACACTCCCGCTACTTGACTGAACACGGAAATAGAAAAATCCCGCGTTGGGTGCTTTCTATCGTTACGATAGTATCGATTGAAAGATAATTATATCGTCGGGGCCGCACAAACAATGTTAGTAAAACTATGATACATAAATATCGAATTTGCAACACTCGTATCTCGCACTGTGATTCGATTTTCATTGTTGAAAATATTTGTGTTTCATACTTTTATAATGCATTCAAAATTTTTTATTGTATTCATTTCATGAGTGATTCACAATTATTTATTTGTTCTTATGTCTCTCGTTATAATAAACAAAACTATTCATTCTAATTATATCCATTTTCATTCATTCATATAATTTTTAATGCCCAGTGCTGTGTCGTGATTTCCTAGTCGTCGTAGAACCTGCAATAGCGTTATATTATATTTAGATTGTGGGAGAGGGTAGTTTAATTTAGTAGCTTGAAGTGAATCAGATTCCGCTTATTGGTCGATAAAGCAAAATCTGTATTTATTTATGAGGCTTAGCTTCCTTGAGTGGTGAGTGGTTCACAGTTACAATTAGAGCGGATAGACATTGTGATATCTGATCGACTGTTTTAATCAAGCGTGTTGATGAAGGTGGTATTTTTACATTTTTATAAGATATAGGTTACATAACGTCGGTCAGATACACTGAAGCGTCTGCCGCAGTCAAGAGAAGGCTGTTGGGGGTTCTACGAGACTCATGTAATGTTTTTGTGTGCACTTAAGTGGAGAGTGCGCCGCGCCGCGTCTCGTAGTACTACGGTAGTGTAGGTAATTGAGGCGGCAGCGCCGTCTTGCTCAAGCTTTTTTATAATGTGACAATTTCGGTTTGTTTTTACGTTTGTAAATATGTATTATAGCGGAATTTATGTAAAATAAATGATTAGTAAATAGTTATTATTGTTTTTATATTGTGTTATTGTTTTTTTAACATCCTGTATATAAATATTTACTTACATTGGCCCTTTTCGCTTAACAGTACTTAATATTCATGCTATTATAGTAAAAAATAAAGGTTACAAAAAAAAGTTTTCAATATTGCAGAATATACAGACTTTTCCGAAGGTTGTTAATAAGAAAAGAACTTAATGAGATTTATTTTCAATCAGTCGTAGTATTTCTTTGTGTGCCAACTTGAAAAAATATATAATAATATAGCATTGTGTTAGTGTAGCGGCTGATTCAATAAAGCAAAATTGCCAGAAAATATCCCTATCAGCGTTAAAGTTAGTAAAATCTTGTATAATAATATGTGATTTGTGATAAAATATGTTTATTATTAATTATAGAAATAAATGTCCTTTTCTCAACAGAAATGAATATTACTACGCTATCAAAGAAAATATGTATTCTAGAAATTCATGTTAAATTATAAAGTTATGAATAATTAGTAAGAAAAGAATCAACAAGTTTCGCGACACAGCCCATGCAACAGTGTCGCCGCGAATACTTGGAGGATACGCGCGGAAGACGCGTGGTCGCTTGTTTTCTGATTGAAGGACCAACTTCTTTACTTCTTATTGATACTGTTTTTACTTCAGTCACAGATGAGTCCAATCTTGATGCACGCGCTAATTGGTAGGCGAGTTGTGTAATTTTCATTTCCAAATAAATTGCGAGTAAAATCTTTATAGCATTCAAAAATTATAGTACTCTGAAAACCAAAGCAAAATATACTTGTTATATTTATTTTGTTTGTTGTAATATTTATTTTTACATTTTTGAAAGACAGTCAAATACTTTAATCATAAAGTTTATAGTTTGTCGTTGTCTAAATGACTAAAGAGTTTTCATAAGTTATAAATTATTATTATTAAAGGGCGATAGACGTACGAAGAAAATCCTTTTTGGTTTATTGAATTTATAAATTAATATGTAAATAATATTTTCTTAATTCAAAGCTAGCTCTAGCGGCTCTGTTGCATTTTAGTTACGGAACTCTAATGAAAATTACCTGGGAGGCGACGTTTTAAAAGAGTTTTTACCAGTAAAGCAAGTTTTTAGAAGAGTGAGACATGTTACAATATAAAAGCAGTAACTTGCATATAGCATAAAGAAGATATAAGTGATTAGCCAAATATAAGATAACTTGTATGTTAAAACTAGCCAAGTCAAATCTTGAACTTCAATGTATCCTAAGTTATCTACTTTGTGTAAATAATTCAACTGTTCAAATTTAAGAAGTTCTATTTTTAAATAACAAACACTTTTGTAGCAAAAAAAAACAAGAAATTGTGTTTTAAATTTATTTTAGATTGTTGTGTTCTTATGAAAAAAATTCAGCATTATCTATAGAACTTGGCACCCGTTTAGATATCAATTATTTTGTCGGTGAAGTTGACAAACACGCATATTCTTAAATTGAACTTGGCTCCCATTTTCACATTTATGTTTTTGATGGGATATCATGACTTATTGTAAAGAAACTATTATTATTCAAAATTTCAAGGTGATATGTTAATTCAATCTTTTTTTCATAATTTTGCGACTATTCGTTAGTGGATAAGGCGAAATAGGAAAATGTTAATTAGGTAATAATCGTTTATATTTTTTATTTTATTCGGGAAACAAACAGTAAAAAGTAATATAATTAGAAACAAAACAAAATATAGACCATTGACCACTAAAGTTGCCACAAATAAATAATACATAGAACAATGCGATCAAATTAACTACAATTAAAAAAATATACATTAAATAAAGTGATACTATATTAATAGAAAATAATTAATGATTTTAGTAATAATTACATAATTATGGTTAATTAATTTTAACATTTTAATTTTTTTTAATTCCACATAGAACAATAATGTGGCTTGAATAATTATTTTTTTATGTTTATAAATATGTATGAAAATGACAACACTAAATAAGATGACTAATTAATAAAGTTTTCTAAAAAAATTGAAATAATTATAATAATAACAGCTAAAATGAAATAAATAATATTCCACGCAATTATTAAACTTATTAAAATTATAAAAATGTTTAAAATTAAAATTAAGTAATATTGTAAAGTACTTTGGTACCATTAAAATTTAAGGTTTTATTTTTGACAAATACAAAGGATCTTAATTTATAATACTATGGTAATACAAAATATTGGAGTTGTACAACGTGGTACAACACTAGGCACTAGCTCTTAATGAGGGAAAGTGAGAAGCGGGGGCGCGGAAGCATGTGTTGTGTTGACCCGCCCGCGCGCCTCCCGGAACACCCGCTCACGCCTGTGCAATTTTGTTAAAATTAGCGTTTTCTGATTAAAATATTATTTACCGATGAAAAGAAATATCTTTGTTTGTTTTAACTGCATATTTCCCCATGATTACATAAATTCAAATAAATACCGACGAAAGAAACAGCGTGATTGACTTTTCGTGACTAATAGCGTCGTCCTTGACGTTTCGAGACTGTTCATACCCGTGCTTACAGTTCAAACTTGCTAGCGCGCGCTCTATATCATAAGACTACCTATACTCGAAGTGTAAGCCCATAGTTACGTATTACCAGTTATTGTTTTTTGAGTCTTAGTTTTTTTAAATAGGCAACATTTTAAAAATGGTTTACTATTCATCTATGGTTTTTATTTGTTATCTATGTCTATGGTTTATTATGTATGTCTTCTTAATCTGTGATATAATGACAATCACGATGACAAATGACAATCAACAATGACAAGCCAAGTGACATTTTATTTGTCATCCATGATTGACATCCACCCTAAAAACATTTAAAGAAACTTTTAATTTTTTATTAAAATTATAATTAGTTAGTACTTAGTCACATAAGTTGTGATAAATTATTTTGGTAATAACAATAAAAAACTTCCCTTCAGTGTCAATAACTAATAGAAATGTAATATATTTTACTAAGAAAAACGCACACGATGGCACTATATGAGGGCATAGCACTAATACAAGAGAAACAAGCAGTCGTTTTAGATCTGGGCACCGATTATACGAAGTAAGAATATAAGTTAATTAAAAATATTAATATACTTTCGCCCAACCAGTGCATGTGAGTGCATGTGCAATGTAAAACTTTATTCCAACTAAGCACTATGCTACAAAAATCTTGTCGAAATATCAATATTGATTATTAAGATGCCTTTTGTTCCCGGTAATAACTTAATTTATGAAATATATAAATGTTTTTAATGTTATTTTGTAGATTCGGTTTTACTGGAGAAGCTGCTCCACGCTGTATTATACCATCTCAATATTGGTGCACTACAGAGAGAAGATTTAAAAGAGTATATGATTATAAAAATGAAGAAGAATTGTACGATAACCTTGTGCATATGCTGCATTTACTGTATTTCAGGTGACCATATTGATATTAATTAATTATCGTATAATGAATTTTATATCTAGTCTATCATAATATTGTACCAAACTGTGTTACTACTTTTATGATATTGTATATTTGATTTTATAATAAAATCTTTCATCTACCTTTTTACCTCTTTAAGCATTATGTATGCATATATTATCATTTGTAAATCAAATTATTTTAACAATGAATACCAATATGAACTGGTACATATTTATATTAGGATCAGAATAACAGAATCAATTTATACCATTTCAGACATGTGCTTGTAAATCCAAAGGAGCGTAAAGTAGTAGTGGTGGAGTCTCTGCTCACACCCACACTGTTCCGAGAGACACTGGCCAAAGTGCTATTCTTACATTATGAGGTAACATACATAAGTATTTCTGAATTGAGCGTGCACTTGGCTAGTCTGAAGCTTGGCTGCCGTGCCCTAAATTGGTCAAGAGAACATAATTATCATTAATTGGTGGGTTATTTGGCACTATTTAATCATTTTACATTTTCTAGATCACTTAAAATCTGCAATCGATCTGTGTTTATAGCTCACGTTGGCAATACTTGTGACATAATATAAAGCTCCTGCTGCCGTCTGTCTGGCAGGTGTCGGGCGTGATGTGGGCGGACAGCGCGCGCATGTGCGCGCTGACGCTGGGCGCGCCCATCGTGCTCGTGGTGTCCATAGGCGCGCTGGAGACCGAGGTGGTGGCCGTGGTGCACGGCGTGCCGGTGCTGGCGGCGCTGCAGGCCGCGCCGCTGGGCGCGCGCGCCGTGCACCGCGAGCTGGCGCGCCTGCTGGACGCCGACCTGCCCGAACACGTACTCGAAGACATCAAAGGTCAGCACCAAGGAAAATACACACACGCACACGCAAACTCAACTTGAAACTATATCATATTTCATGATATTTGGTTGTTATAGAATAATATTTTGTTTATTAGATTAATATATTCTATATTTGTATCAATTTTGTTATTACGAATTATGTAAATTAAAAAAATATATCTTACGGGAGTGAAGACAAATAAGACTGTCAAAACACAGAACCGAATCAGGGTTTTCAATTTTAATTTTTAACTATGGTTTTTTGTTAGTAACGTGATGTGATAAATTTTATCTGGTGGGATTTATAAACTGGTATACCTTTTTTTAATCATTAGGAATTACATTTACATGTGCATGTGTGATTGGGGATACTTTAATGAAATTGTGTACATCCCATCCCCGATAACCAATTGCTCGCTCCCACGATTCACTCTTAATTTTAGAAAAGTGCCAGAACCATACACGGGCGGTACACTTCCCGTCCAAGAAGTAGCCTAACCCTCAACGCTGTCTGCTCTATAATCTGGCGTAATTAACTTAAAGGCTAAAGGCTCATACTTTTCAATACAAAGAATATTTTTTCTGCCTGACACGGTCCTAGCACGGTCATGGTATGAGATGGTGTAGTGGGCAAACTCATTAAGATGACATATTTTGGACCGTGCAGCGCGCGCGTGCTTCGTGCCGAGCCGCGAGCGCGCGCTGCGGCTGGCGGCGGGCGCGGCGCCGCCGGCCGCGGGCGCGTCGCTGGCGCGCGCCGACCGCACGCTGGCGATACCGGGCGCCGCGCGCGAGCTCGCCGCCGAGCCGCTGTTCGCGCGCGATAACGAGATGGCCTCCGTGCCGGACATCGTGCTGCAGTGTATCATGCAGGTACGTCGGCTCGTAAAGGCAGTGGTTGCCCAGTGGTAAGGCGCTCGCTTGGGAAATCGAGTGAAGCAGGTTCAATTTTCGGGTCTCGCACCTCTGATATTTTCATGTGTGAATCATTTCCAATATGATTACCACTAGTTTTAATAATGAAGGAAAACATCGTGGGGGAAACCTGCATGTCTGAGAGAACCTAGCAAGTTTTGGAAAGACATGTGAAGTCCACCAACCCGAACTTGGCCAGCGTGGTGGATTACGGCCTGATCCCCCTCGTATTGAAGGGAGGCCTGTGCCCAGCAGTGGGACGTTAAAAAGGGCTGAATACATACCGCGCCTCAACTTGCCTCGGCGCGAGCGTCGAACTTCGGCCGATTTAATGTTGACTGATTTTTATTAATCTATTTATGTATCGTGAATCGTTAAGATATGTTTAGAAAATAAGGAAAAATATATCAGCAAAGAAGTTATTACCAATTTTAGACTTTTTCCTTCTTTTAATGTGTTGTAGGTACGGCACATATATTAGCAATGTTAGTTGGTCTAAACTTCATATATCAGCCAATTTTCTGATTTTAAATTAATATGATATCAGAACGCTATATTATATTATTTTATATCCCGTACAAGAAATTAATTTCTGATTTTAGAGTAATCTGTAGTCATGCTGTAAAAATATTCATGTCACTACTATTATAACTGCGGATCGGCATTTAATATAAAGTAAGATTTACGACCTGGCGACGGTTTATCGCCCACAAGCACCCAGTAAAAACGGTCACTGATGTTGCACGGCGCAGTGCCCGCTGGACGTGCGCCGCGAGCTGGCGGGCAACGTGCTGGTGTGCGGCGGCGGCGCCGCGCTGCCCGGCCTCAAGGCGCGCCTCAAGCACGAGCTGCTGCACCTCGTCACGCAGCCGCCCTACTGGTACCTACCGTCCACCTACTATCTCACACTTACTGCCTCACACTTACAGTCTCACGTTCTACTGTCTCACATCTACACTCTCACACTACTATTAGTCCATTCGCGTTAAGAAAATTGTGAGTCATTAAATGCAACGGCAGCTAAAGGTGTATGTATGTATACAAAGCGGGAGTAAAAATTCAATTCAAATTCAATATTTCAAAAGATTAAGTTTAATGGATAAAAATCAACAATTCTTTTACTCATCTCAAATCTTGATTTGAGATGATAATGACATTATTTTGATTTAAGCTAATTAATAAACTTAATTATCTTAAATCAAAATAAAGTCATTAATAATATATTATCTGCTTTCAATTGGTCATTGTGAACTTGACTCTTATAATTTTAAGCAACCTAACTGGTCGGAGGGCGTGGCTAGGCCGGTGGACACCGATGACTCACTATTTTCTTAACGCGAATGAACTATACATACAGTCTCATACGTATTTTCCCACACTACTTTCTCACACCCAATGTCTCGGACTCTACTGTCTATAATTTATAAAGATATTGTATTAAATGCATACGCGTGTGAAGCTGCGAGAAACAATAATGATCAACCAAAATAATAGTCCGCTTCAATATGAACAGCTCGAAGCTCCAGATCAAGGAGTTCAAGTTCCACAGCGCGCCGGCGCACGACAACGCGGTGGCGTGGGCGGGCGGCGCGCTGTGCGGCGCGGCGGACGGCGGCGCGCGCGCGCTCGCCCGCGACGTGTACGCGCGCGCGCGGCGCCTGCGCGACTGGCCGTGCCTGCTGCACCGCACGCCGCACGACCACCCGCACTGGGCGCTCGCCGCCGACTGACCGCCCCCGCCGGGGTTGGATATATTATTGTATTTATACTACATTTTCATGCTTCATACTATACACTATCCATATCTAAGGATAGTACGAAAATATACTATAATTTCATTACTTTACTTACATAATTGACTAATTTTTCCTTGATTGCTTAGAATTTCCCCACGCTAATGCTGGCTGTGTGAGAATATTCAGTTAAGTGAATCTTACTAAGACTAAAATAAAACACAAACTGGCAACACAATAGACGCCATTTTGTTATCTTGAGTTGTGACGCCATCGAAGACGGTGCCTAGCAAAAGTGGGAATTGTACTAATTTTATTAATTAATCCTACTGAGTATATGTTAATAAGTTAAAATTCTAAGATTTCTATGGATGAAACTAATATTGAAGAACTGATAAACTTTTAATTATTATGTTAAATTCAAAATAACAAATTGTACTATTATTTTTTACAAAATACTGTCCTTTTAAATTTTTTGTACTATCGTTTTCAACGTACCTAAATCCAACCCTGCGCCCAACACACTACACACTAATACAGCGGCTCCCAATTCATTTTGGTCACGTAACACTAATTCATATTATTTTTTTGACGAATACCCGTTTCGATAATAATTAAAATATATGTGTTGTAGATAGAATACTTTCTTGTTTGACTTGAAGGAACAAATCATAAATGAAAAATATTAATATTTATTTTACCAAAAATATTACCGTATATATTTGATGTAACAATAGTACTAAAATTAGCCTTCCTTGACAACGTTTTATTTAACTCTCGGACGGACTCGGAATGCCTGTGACCCTTCCACTAAACCCTAGGGTTCCGTGGACCACAATTTGGGAACCGCTTCTCTAACATATCCTTCTCTTCGACTTATTTTGTGAACAATAATCTTGGGCCTATCCACACCGAGTCCTACAAACGCACCGATGACGTATGATGAACTTACATCATACATATTAAGTAGATTACATGCGTGTTCAAGCCATCGTGTGTATAGGCCCTAAGCACTGTTTCGCTGCCAGTTATGCACTATTAGAAATATAAATAAATACTAAGACCGTAACTGCTTTTTAAGATACTCACCCTGTTATATTAAAGTTGAACATATTATTATGTAAGTTTATTACTGATAAATAAATTATTTACCCAAATTTCGTTTTTCTTAATATTGTATCAAATTCGTCCTATATGTTACCTTAAAACTATAAAATAATTCAAATTGTAAATTTTCTATCGCGCTACAAATAATTATTTAAAAATCGGCGCTTGGGGGCCTGTTCATTATATATTACAACTTATTATAATTTTTACAACAGACCAAAAAAAACCTAAAACGTGTCTATTAGGTACTTTCTTAGATTTACGCGAATATTAGACATTTTAATTAATAAATCAATCTACATATTTTCTCGCGGATTTATCTGGAGAGACTGAGTTCAAAAGATACAGTATTTACAAGTTGGACGCAGATACACCGAGCAGCAAACGCTTAGTAACATTGTCTCCATTATACTCTTTGAAAACAGCATAAAAACCCCTTCCTTCATCTTTAAAATATAAGGTTAGTTTAACACCTCCAGGTAAATTTCTGAGAAATTAATTATTTTTCTAAGAAATCTATTGTTAACTGTAACGTGTCCGCGGTCGTGGAGGGATTAAAATAGTATATTGTATAAAATACAAATAATAATAAATTGAACGCACCGTGCAACTGAAAGAAAGTAATATTATATTTATTTGATTTTGTTCGAAATTCATTCCTTAAAGGGGTAAAAGGGGGTAATAAAGTTAATGTGGGCAAATAATAATTTATGATCAGATTTACTTCAAACTTGCTATTAATGCTTTTCAATATCTATTCATATAATAAAATTGTAACTAAGCCGAATCTGTACATTAAATATTTTTTCGGAAAATCTTATTGAAATAAACATTATTATTGATACAGAGGCCGAATCTATCGTTTTTAGAATTTTTGTCTCTCTGTCTGTCTGTCTCATAGAGTATATTGCTAACCACTGGACAGATTTTGATGAAATTTGTTATGGTAATAGCTGGTTATCCGGGTCAACATATAGGATACTTTTTACCGCGGGGAAATATCTCATTTCTGAGAAAAAATACAAACACTGTAATGTAAGAGTATACTAACTGTAAAACCTTAGAATTTGGTTTTTGGTCATCTGAACGCGAGCGGAGCCGCGGGCAATGCTAGTAGTTAAATTTTTGTTTTAGCATTTTTAAATTCAATCCCATAAGGGGGTATAATGGGGGATGAAAGTTTCAAATTTGTATGAAATTCTGTAATTAATGCACAGATACTGGTATTTACCTTTAAAATGAAAAATAAACAATACAAATATTATGTATAATTAATATTATGTATTAATTTTTGTATTCTTGTGGGAAAAACTTTTTTTTCAGATTTATAATTCGTACCCTAGTCTTTAGGGCCAAGGGAAAAGAGACGTTATCGCATTCTCCTTTAACTTTCGACGTTGTAAATGAAAACCTGTATTTTAAACAATTATGGTACTTAGTTTATATATTATGTATCTGTAAAAGTACCATCTAATATATAAATAATATACGTAAGTAGTATTTAGTAAAGAAGTTTTTAGTACTTAGTTATTTTGTCTAACAACGGGGAAGAATTTTGCTATTTTCTGCCGCCAGATGTCGCGATCCCTATTATCCTCAGCATATTGTAAAACGTATTTATTTAATTGTATTATAGAGCATTAATATTTAATACCAAGTTTCAAATAATTCTAACCATATATAATTCTTTGCCCATTTAACTTTATTACCCCCTTTTACCCCTTTAAGATATGAATTTCGAAAAAATCTATTAAGCTAAAATTACTTTTTGTGTATTTCACTTTAGGAATTACAGTTTCATACGATCTTTAATCCCCTATTTTACCCACTTAGGGGATGAATTACGAAAAATTCTTTCATATCGGATGATGTAGGCGTTAATATAAGGAAATAAGAATACTTCCTTCAAATTCAATCATATCGAATCCAAATCATATCTAGGTATATAGAGGCGATGCCATATTACGCACAATACACAGGTACTTGGCGGCGATCACAATAGACCAGAAATGGTCGCAGTGATATAAAAAAGCCGCCAAACAGAAATAAAAAAAAAAAAAATAAATAAAAAGGTACTCTTTCATTTATAATCTGTGTTTAGATTTATAATTTTGCATCTGTCAATGACTTGTCAAATTGTCAGACCGATAGTCAAAAATACTGTGAAGAAAGAAACATATTTGAAATTCATTTATTAATTTTTAGTTTAGATTGTTAAAATGTCCGAAATAAAAATAGTGGCAGCGAGTATAGTCAACTTTCTCAAGCAGCAACTGGACACAGATACCCTGAGCGTCGACTCTCGGGAGAGCGTGGAAGTTGGCGTGCAATGCATTGAAACTGCTTTCGAATTAACCCCAGATGAGCTCTCAAAAGGCGTGGATTTACTTCAACTTGTCAGACAACAGAGGGGCGGTTTCTCGGCGACGGACCGCGCTGAAGCAGAAAAGTTGAAGAATGAAGGAAATGAACTTATGAAAGCTGAACGTCATCGCGAGGCTCTTGAGAAGTATACTCGTGCTATTGAAATAGATGCGCATAACTCAGTATTCTTCTGTAATCGAGCCGCTGCGCACTTCAAGCTCGGGGAACACGAAACGGCTGTCGCCGATTGCATGGCGGCGCTAGCCTTGCAACCTAACTATGGTAAAGCCCACGGACGCCTTGGACTCGCACTCACAGCATTGGACCGCCACGCCGAGGCTCGCACAGCGTTCGCTCGCGCAGCTCAACTCGAACCCGATAACGAATCTTATAAACAAAATTTAAGACTTGCAGAAGAACGCTGTGCACAGCGTGGGGACCGTAGGCAGTTAGATCTCGGCGGTCTTCTTCAAAATCCCGCTTTACTGAATATGGCTACAGAGATGCTTTCTGATCCTAACATGCAAAATCTAATTTCTGGATTGATGAATACTACGGCACCTAACCCAGCAGCAAATGGTGCTGGTGGTATGAATATGCTACTCGAGGCTGGCCAAGCACTCGCACAACACATGCAAAGTGCTAATCCAGACCTTGTAGAGCAATTGAGAAGACAGATGCGTCCCCCTGGCCCTGGTGGCCCTGGTGGCCCCGGTGGCAACCCACCTCCACCATCGCAGTAAAACTAAGAAAGGTGTTATCCTTTCATACAGCAACAAGGTGGCTACAGTCTCTTTAGCAACCTTTTATTTAAAACGAAAGATTATCTTTATAAATTGTATATTGTGCTGTGAAAAAAATATATTCTTACTACAACTGGTACTTCTCACCTGTGTTTCTTCTTAAGTTAATTTATAATATATCCACAAGATTACTAGCCACATGTGTTTGATGTTTGTGTCTGTTGAGATGTTTTTATTTTGGGATTTGTCAGATTTTATATAATATATATTATATAAAATGAATTTTGTTTTAATATCAAGTGTACATGTAACATTAACACTATGTAGTTAGGTTCAATTGTAGGATGTAGATGCAGTGGGAACAAACAAGCTGCAGATGCAATATTATATTTAGAAAATGCAAACCAATGTTAAATCAGAGTATTACTTGTGTATGTCTCGGTTTAACTTAACATACTATTACTTAGAATAAATAATTGATTTTAATAAAATTCTTGAAAAACTTATGGTTGAAGTTATTTAGACAAAAACAAAATTACCAATACTAGATCTGATTTTAATATATTTTATCCACTTATGATTAAACATAAATCATGTTATAGATCTATTTTACAACTTAGTTTACTTTCTTCAATAATTTCAATATACCGGTAAAAAGGTAATGAGAATGCTGAAAGTTTATGTAAACAATCGCACAGATCCTCAAGATGTGTATTGTCTAACAGATATAGAAATGTTGCAAGTTGCATGTGAAATAAAAAACAAAATGCTGGTTTCTTAACTATTTATTACAACTCTGTGTATAATTTACGATAAATACATTTACATATTATTTTGTTTATGTACACACAGTAGCAAATGTAAAAATATTATATGGACTTGTTAAGTGCAGACACTAGACAGTGACACACAATGTCTGCAACGCACAAGACTCGAATAAATTCCCAAAAACTTAAATATCGAAAAACTCCATATTTACATATAGATCGCCCCCAAGTATTAGTGAGCCTCCGACTTCAACCCAATCCTTCCATTTCAGAAGGACTTTGCGAAGAAAGATATTTCCTAAAAGTAGCGAAGGCACTGTTGAAGTCTGTGAATAATGAACTTCAAAATAAATGCTGCCTCAAAATGCGAGTGATTCGAAACGTGTCAAAGGGTCTAACAATAAGTACTCAGAGTAGGTAATTTACAACTAAACCATTTATTCATTTATTACTTTCGTTTATTGAAATCTATCTACACATAAAATTTAGTTTCTTCGGAAAATCACTAATAGGAACAACTTATGATATATTTTTAAAATAGAAAATGTCAATGAAAAAGCATGCATAACATATGAATTAAATAAATTTATATGAAAAATTATAATTTACGTACTTAATGTATAAAGACAAAAAATAATTTTTATATCTCACGTATACAAGAAACTCTGAAGCACCAAACTATCGCCGCCGAATAAATTAAGTCGTAAAGCTAAATATTAAAAATGTAATAACAATTAAGATTTAAACTAAATACGTATATTGAACATCATAATAATATGACGCGTACAGGTTTTTGAATTGAACAAATTGCACGACGAGTAAGCCAGCTATACTCAACCTGCGGCCCGCCGGGCCTTTGTTATTGGCCCATCTGAAGTTACATCTCAGAGTTGGCTTCCGTTTTAAATTGTAATTACTCAGAGTTGTTTGATGAGTTCATCGATTTTGAAAACGATACCAATCTAGAAGTTCTGTTTTAAGAAAAAAAAGGGAAAACAGACCATGACCGAAACGTGTTTGTGGCCACTATAAAAAAAAAGTTGAGTATGGCTGGAGAAGCAATATGCGTCCCCACCGGCCGCCTATGTACTCCTCCGCCTTTGCCTTTGGACATATACATTAATTTCATAAGCATAAATCTTATTTAGCTATTGATATTATTTCATTAAGAATCGATTTAAGTTTCATATAAAAATATAAACCCAACTGGCGCACAGTTTGGATGCCATTAGCCAGTGCCCAAGGAATCCCGTGATAACCAGTGACCAGTTCATGAAGAACATATAATACTCGTGTGAGTTAGACCGCCAGACTCCGCGTCCGCCACACAGATTGATTGGAGTGAAGGATGAATATTTAAAGCATAAAAAAAACAGCTCAAAACCTTTAAATAAAAACACACAATAATAAATAGCTTCCAAAAAATCAGTGCCAAATTATATAAAATATTAATCACATTTTAGCGTTTATGGAATGAAAAAAAAAATTAATCGAGCGTTTCAAAATTTATAAAGGTACTAGATAGTCTAAAGTTCATTTTTATTTGCCATACAACAATATCCGGTCGAGCGGTCGCGGGCCATCGCTTCTAACAAACCTGATATGTACAAAATTGTTAAAACTTTAAAGAAATTCCAAAAAAAGACAATATTGCACCAGCTATATAAACTCTTAATCGATTTTGTGCTTAACATACAATCGATTAGCTTACGAGTTAGCTAAGAACATACCGAGTTTGTTGTGGCAGCACTACTCAACATTTGCGCGTATAATAATGTGAGGGAGGGGGAGGCTGTGACTAATTGCGTTTGGAGGGGGGTATGAGGTGGGGGGGCAGCTCCGAGGGTAGGTCGTGTCCGTCGATCTTGACGCGTATGAGGTGCATCGCGAGCGCGAACTCCTCCTCGTCGAGAAAGCCGTCCTTGTCGATGTCGGATAGCTTCCATATCTTACCGAGCACGGAGTTCGGTAACTTTGACTTCACCATCTCTGTTTTCGCCGCTGTTGGACAAAAATCAACTACAGTCTTATCCATACAATATACTGGTGGGATTGTCATTTCTAACGATACTTGCATGGTGTTCACTATTTGAAAATTTAGGTTATTTTTAAATAAAACTATCTTTTCGGATTTTTTCGCGAATTTATTTTGTTTTTTGGTTCCCGACTTTACAGCAATCATGGTCACGGGAGACACTGAGGTGTTAGATGTCTCTAAGGTATTATATAGTTGTTACAGACAGCCTACCCACAAATAACAAAATAAATTCAAAAATTAAAAAATGGCACCACGTCGGGAACCAAAAATCAAAATAAATTCGCGAAAAAATCCGAAAAGATAGTTTTATTTAAAATGTCAAGTATTCGCGTAAATCTAAGAAAGTATTATTTGGGTAATTCTTAAGATATTTAATTATTAAAAACCTACCATTCTTCCCTAATCTCTCCATCATATACTGAATAAATACAGATACTACAAAATATACAGGGTGGAACAAGTCGATGGGACATGGAAGAAAAGTACCTTAAATATTTGAAGTTATCAAGATTTACTCAAAAGAACCATTTCTTTATTTTTAAAAAACTGCATTTTTTTTAAAGTTTACCCGAACCGGGAACCGAACCAAATAAAAATGCACACAACGTCACTATTTCATCGAATTAATTATAATGTATCTTCAACTAATATACCTAAAAACAATGCGATTGAGACTTGACGGGATCTACCCATTATTGAGATGATAGTGACTGGTATAATATAATTGGACCCAGTTATGCAAAAAACAGCCATGTGCGTAAAAGTACCAACAGAGTTATAAAAAAATTTCTGTCGATAGTTGCACTTGGGTTATGTTTTGTTTTTCTGGTTATTTTAAAATTGAACAATATTTATATAAGTATTGTTTATTTTTTATAATTATTTTATTTTTTATAATAAAATGCTTATAACTCTGTTGGTACTTTTACGCACATGGCTGTTTTTTGCATAACTGGGTCCAATTGTTGAACTCGATTGCCCTAATCGGAACATCGCTGGTAATTAACACGCGTTGGCCAAATAAATACGAACTAGCATGCGTACATTGGTACAATAAAACCAATCTCTGTGACCGTATGCATTACGGATTCACAGTCCTCTCCATTGATTGGTTTGTCAACTATTATTATTGATAACGTGTTAGTAAATATTTCTACTTAGCGTCTAGGGTTGTTTTAACAAGCTTAAAAATATCAAATAAAAAATAAATAACAAGAAACGAACAAAATATTCGTTCACGTATGACTGTATAGGTCTAAGTTTGTTAATGGTTTCAGTGCAAAAGATATTAAAAACTCTACTTTGGAATAATAAGATGAATGATTATAATAAGCGGAGAACGAATCTGAAGAACGATCTAAAAATCATTCACTCGCTCTTATACAAAGCACATTCAAGAACAATCAGACGAGGAGCATAGTATATATTATATGAATTGTAATAATACTTTCAGATCGAACAAATCACTACATCCATATTTGCAACTTTATTATGATGTAAGATATTTAAGAATACGAACGACATTGTGACTTTGGAACAATTGAAAAATTGAATTAATTTGAACGGTTTCTTCTTGAATGCCGAAAGTCAGCTCTTGGACTCGCTCCGCCCAAGTCTGCGGAGATCTCCCAATATTAAACTCTATATATAATTTTCCAGTGAAAATGTACACCAAGCAGATAAACATAAATTCTGTCGCTATCGTTATCGTTATCAAATTCAATATCAATAAAAGTATAAATTTGATGGGAAACAAAACGGTTTGAAAATTTCCACTTTGTTCATTTGTTTGATCGATAATATTTAATTTAGGAGAATTTGTATCACGGCAGCTATCGTCTGAGTCGCTGCAGTCGGTCTGGTCTGTTTTGTATGTTTCTGGTCTGTTATAATCTGAACAAGTGTCGCTGTAATCCCTGTGGTCGATTATAGGTTCGTTTAAGCTATGTATTGAGACAGCTCCAGAATGAATGCTTTCTAGACTTATTGAAGATTCGTTCATTAAAAATTGAGAAATATTGCTGCAATTTTGTGTAGCCAGTGCTAAGACTTCGGCGATTTTATTAAAACTATGCTCTTCGTCTTTACGTTCTTGGTTCTTTAATAGCATGCAGAGTTCGGTTAGTTGAGAGCAATTCTGTGTGGTGGAGAGCAGAGCTTGTAAGGCTGAATCGACTGTGATAGTGTTTCGTAAGTGTGGATATGTGGACGCTATTCTCGCGAGAGTGTGCGCGTGAGAGATCAGCTCCTTACCAGCTCCGGTGACTTTTCCATCGATAGGGTTCAGAGATTTGAATATTTCGTCGTACTGAGGCTTCTCCTTGCTGCAAATCCACTCGGGGTCTCCGTGTCCGGCGTCCACGCCTTCGCCGCGACCATAGCCGAACGGCGACACTTGGTCTTCTACGCCTTCGAACGCGCCACCTGGAATATTAAAAAATAACATTTATAGGTACTTCGTCGTTTTAAACTATAACGTAATCTATAGATATTAAATTACTGTCAAGTAAATAAGATTAGAATTATTGAACAAATCACAGTATTCCAGCATTATTGTATGTAGAAAGAGCGCACTACATGTGTGCTGGGGGATAAACAATATAATGCCATTATGTCTCCTAAGCCAATTGAATGTGCAACGAGAAAAATATTCACATAAGTACCTACAAATGTAGGTATATTCCTAGTATCTATACATATTATAGATTTGTAATACCTGGGCCAGATTTAACCTTAGCGCCGCCCACGGGCATAGTAAAAAAAGTCCGCCCTGTTATCGAAATTTTGCATAAAATGGACAAAGTTTCGATAAACTTTATTTTTCTTTTAATTATTAATTTTTTGAGAAATGCAAAAGAATCATTTATAAATGATATCAATTTTTCCGAAAAATGTACCTACTAGTTAAGCATTTTCGATAACGCGAAGAAATTTTTTTTTCCGCCCTCTGAATTTTGCCGCCCTGGGCACTAGCCCCGACTGCCCCTAGTGTAAATCCAGCGCGCGGTACTACTATTATTATGTGTTACAAGACATAACATTCATACAACACAATAGAACTAAAAATATATTATACTTAATGGTTAGGTATCTATATCTATCTCTTTCCCTCTAAAACAAAATTTAGGTAATATCTATATCCGTCTCTTTTTAAACGTTGCACAAATAAATTATTCTATTTTTGCGGATGTACCAATATTCTGTAAAGATCGAGTTGGGCAATTAGCAGTGATTACCGACACGGCGGCCCTCGACAATGCCAAGTTTACCGAGCTCAGCGCGACGTGCTAGGCTAGACACGATATGCTTGATAAAACCTTTAATAGGTCGAAACTAACAAAAAGTATAGTGGTAAAGCTAAATAGGCATCTAGTGCACAAAAAGTAACTTGGCATTGTCTAGAGAAAAATCATCAAATCTATACATATAATAAAATTGTAACTAAGTCGAATCTGTACATTAAATATTTTTTGGAAAATCTAATTGAAATAGACATTATTATCGATACAGAGTCCGAATCTATAGTTTTTAAAATTTTTGTCTGTCTGTCTGTTACCGCATTACGAGAAAACCACTGGACAGATTTTGATGAAAGCTGGTCATCCGGGTCAACATATAGGATACTTTTTACCGCGGGAAAATATCTCATTTCTGAGAAAAAATACAAAAACACAAAAACTGCATTGTAAGAGTATACTATTATGTAAAACCTAAGAATTTGGTTTTTGGTCATCGGAACGCGGGCGGAGCCGCGGGCAATACTAGTTATAGTTATATGCGTTTAAAAAGTATATATTTAGAAGGTTACATTTTTTAAACTAAATAAAAAATACACACAATACAATAAACAAAAAATGAATTTTAAGACTCGACCTTTATAAAATCAATAACTGAAGGTCACTGAGCAAAAATATATAAAAAAATATATTAATCAATTGTGTTATTTCTTCTGTTTGTTTTTTGAGTTAAACTTTATCCTAGTTAAAAAGTTTAACAAAAGACAAGATAACAATATGATAGTAATTTATAAGAAAGGAAAATCGTCACGTCATATTTTTATATTATAACTAGCATTGCACGCGGCTCCGCCCGCGTTTAGATGACCAAAAAACAAATTCTGAGGTTTTACATATTAGTACTTATACTCTTACATTGCAGTTTTTGTATTTTTTTCTCAGAAATGAGATATTTTCCCGCGGTAAAAAGTATCCTATATGTTGACCCGGATAACCAGCTATCTTCATACCAAATTTCATCAAAATCCCTCCAGTGGTTTTCCCGTGATGTGGTAACAGACAGACAGACAAAAATTGGAAAAACTATAGATTCGGCCTCTATATCGATAATAATGTTTATTTCAATACGATTTTCCAAAAAATATTTAATGTACAGATTCGGCTTAATTACAATTTTATTATATGTATAGATAATTGCTAGTTCGTTTCCAGAACGCCGTTTCTTTTCTACAGTGTTATATAAAATAAAGACAATGTTTATTTATATTTAATAATTTAAAGTTAGAAAATAATAGACATTTATTTAAAATCGATACTTAATTAACCAAGCGCGATAAAATTGTGTAATGTGTAATTAATATATTTGTTTTAAAGCTTTTACTTTTAAACTATTTCCCGTTTGGCGACATATTTGTTAATTCTAGACGATAGTTTACATACATACTAATAATATTATAAATGTGAAAGTTTGTGAGTTTGGATGTTTGTTACTCTTTCACGCCAGAACGGCTGAACGGATCTGAATGAAATTTGGGCAATCTATCTCGATTATAGTCTGGAAAACACATAGGCACTTTTTATCCTGGAAAAATGTACGGTTCCCGTGGGATAGGTCTATCTTTGCTTTCCTTTTTTTTTCTTTGAGGGTGAGCCGCTAGTACTAATAATATTTCTTACAATTAGTGCTTGATGTGGGTGAAAAAATATACTTCCCAATATAAAAAAAGAAAGAATTGAAAACGTCAGTTTCTTCCATAAGTAGCGCCAAAGATAAAGTATTGGTTATACTCTGTAGTAATTATCTATCTAGCAAGATGGTTTTAAAAGAAAATTATTTAAAAAAAGTAAACTAGATTAACCACCTTATTCGGAGACGAGATGCTTCATGTCCTCTTATCAGGGATCAGCACAATCTTACGCTCGTATCGTTTAACTGCGTATATTACATACACCAGTTGGTACCTGTTAGTGCATTTCAATGAACCTCTATTACTCTTCAGATGAATTGAACAAACGGCCCACAACAACAACAGCAGTTAGATTCATTCAAGGTGAGCAAGGTAAAATTTGTTTAACATTGATATTGGTTAAGTTGAATCATACAAGCGGCCAGCGGTTTTCTGATATTAATATACTAGCATTGCCAACCAAAAACCAAATTCTTAGGTTTTACATATTAGTAAGCCGAATCTGTACATTAAATATTTTTTGGAAAATCTTATTGAAATAGACATTATTATCGACACAGAGGCCGAATCTATAGTTTTTAGAATTTTTGACTGTCTGTCTGTCTGTTATCGCATCACAGAATAACCACAAAAGGGATTTTGATGAAATTTAGTATGGTGATAGTTGGTCAACCGGGTCAACATATAGGATACTTTTTACCGCGGGAAAATGTCTCATTTCTGAGAAAAAATACAAAAACTGCAATATACAAGTATACTAACATGTAAAACCTAAAAATTTGGTTTTTGGTCATCTGAACGCGGGCGGAGCCGCGGGCAATGCTAGTTACTATATAAATCATAAACATACCTATTCAATATTTCGATGTTGTTACATGCACATCGCAAAACTGCTATTGTGGACCCGAAATTACTATTTCCTTAAATAAAACATTTTGCACTTGTATCTTATCCGAATAAGAATTTAACTTATTGCTTTTATCAATGGTGTGTAATATTTAGGTCAGTGGGCTTTTTTTGAGATACACTCAGAAGGTCGCCATGGTGTCGTGCGAATTGACTAAGTATTTTTTATAGGACATTCGAATGCTTGAAGAAACTACCGATGCAGGCTATATATAACACGGACGGACGGGTTTTACAGTAATTTAGTCCTACCATCTATCAAATGCATAGAGTTCATATTGCAAAAACAGATTAACGATACAGGTAAGTGGCCTATTGAAGCCAACTTATATTTAGCAACCAGAATGCTGCAATCGGTGGTTAATTTTTTTACAAGAATTTATTGGTTCATTAGTCATTACATTGCGGTACTTAAAAATTTTAACTTAACTTATTTTTTTACAATTTTGTTTGCTTCTAAGTACAAATGACTGATACACTAATGACTAATCTATTTCGATACCATCATAAGAGATAATATTGCATATCACAGATTAATTTAGCCGGTCGCTTTAATCGCAATACAGAGAGATAAACATCAAAAATATTTGTAGGAGCGGTAAATTTTATTAAACCAACAAAATGAAAATTATAACTAATATGTTTATTTTTATATTATTATTATATGTTGTTAATTGTTGGTAACTTCATACAAGCTATTATATGTATCTGCATGTATCTATCTTATAATATTAAATTACCAATCGTGTATCTCGGAAACGGCTCTATCGATTTGGTCTAAATTTTGTATTTAGACAGGAAGACTCCTTCCTTTTCTGAAAAAAAAACGCAATTTTTCGCAGAAACAAAAAAAAATTTATAAATAATAATTATAAGAGCCTTTATCTGCTCTCATGCTGACACTGTCATATAGCGCCATCTCGTAAATTTTTGTGGTACTTGCATTGTCACCAATGGATGAAGCCCTACTGTACGAGCGATTACACCTAGCTAATTTTATGCCATCCCGTTATTATATTTATGGTAATTTAGTTTCATTATTTTAATATTCCTTACAAAATGATATTATCCATTGTATTGTATTCAGCCCTTTTTATCGTCCCACTGCTGGGCACGGGCCTCCCTTCAATACGAGGGGGATGATGGCCATAGTCCACCACGCTAGCCAAGTGCGGGTTGGCGGACAATATTATCCATTAAGTTACAATAAATATAAGGGACGTGCGTCACCACACTGCTCGCGAGTACACAGTAGTACGATGGCAGACGAGTGACCCTGACAACCTACTGAGCAATTAATGTTTTATGATTGATGCCTGGCAGTTGATCATTGGTTACGATTAGGTACATAGGTTTACTGTACGAGACTATATGTTATCTAATCTTCTTTTCCATATATATCAGATATAGTTTTAAAATACTGAAAGAGTTTGTATATTTAAACGATTTAATCTCAGTTTGTTTTAAATTAATTTTTTTAATCATTCTGCGTCGTTTACTCCGTTTACTTTTAAAATATCGTAGGCTATAATAATATAAATTATGTCTGTTCTCGCTCATTAGTTCAGAATCTGTTCAATGTACCTGCTGCTGT